CATTTTTGTGATTGTTAATGGTCAACTTTGCCACTTAGCAAAACAACTCAGATGGGTACATTTAAATTCTGCTTGATGAATTCCATGGCGTACCAAAATATATTGATACCCTATAGTCCCTTTTTTAAAAATCTCTAAGCATTGAACCACTGAGCATATCATAATTTATGTCAATGGGTGTTTTCAGAAGTGACTTAGAATAGGAATTATAAGATTTAAGGAATTCAAAAGAATTAAACCTGGCCAGTTTCTGATTTCTTTGTTGCTGATTCATGTGAATACAGATTTGTCTTTTTCTTTATGAAGATCCTTTGTGACAAGATGTTTTACAAGGCTGTCTGAAATGTTTTAGCAACCCATTTTAGGGGGGAAAAGCTCAGAGAGAGAGAGAGAGAGAGGGAGAGCAGAATCAAATATGGCTCGTTTTTCATGTCACTTTGGCTTCCAAAGAGTAATGTTTACAGTTGTCAGAATAATTATTTCTGAATCTGAATACACCAGGTTCTCAGACACCACAGAATTACCACTTCAGTATTGTATGGCTTCTGTGATGAACTGCTTCTCATAAAGCAGCTCTGTGAAGTACAAAGACTAGAGGCTTGATCCTTATGAATCTCTTTTTCTTTCTGATCCCCTGGAACTATAGAATCAGATAATAGTCATCTTTGCCTTTTAAAATGCCGCCATTGATCTTGTTCTAAGTACCTCTTCTGTAAAGATTTTCATATACATGAACAAAGTGCAGTCCCCTGGCAGTATTTGTAGGTTGCTCTGTTAAATTATAGCATGCAGTGGGTGGGTGTGTATATGAAAGCTTTCCTTTTGTGCATAAATAACTTGGATCATTACTGTCAGATGGCAGCCTCCTAGCAGAAGTCTATAAACCAAGGTTTATAAACAGATTATCTGCTTATTGTATTTATATGATCGTTCTCCTTAAGGGTTCTCCTGTACTTGTGCCAGTATTCAAAACACATAAGAAGAATTTTTTATGCAAGTGGCAAGAGAAAAGATTGTCCCAATAGCTCTGATGTGAATGGTCATTTATTCAGATAATGAAGTATTTCAATAATACTCTCTCCACATAATGAACTATTATATTTGTGAGTACATTTGAGCTCACAGCACACAGAGATTTGAGAATGTTTACCAAGTGCCTGAGAGATTCTCAAGATGGCTACTTCAAAGTTGGTTTTAGACAAAGTTTTTGGAGTTTAACTTTTTACTCTTGGATAACAATAAACTGGACAAACTAAGGTCTATGCCAACTGTATAGGAGATTATTTTAAAATGCAATTATATGGCTATTAACCATGTGCTGTTATTTTCCCTTGAAAGTGTTAGGATTACACGGATGAGTTTAAATGTTTTATCCCATTCATTGTTGGATTGTCCACAAATCTAAGGTTATTTCTTAAAAGAAGTCAAATTGTTCATATATATATATATACATAAGTATGTATATATATATATATGTAAAATAGATGGTTTAGGAGCATGTAATTCTCTAAATCAGGTTCATTCATGTATAATTTGGTTTCCACTAAAAGATTGTAGTGCTGCCACTGTTAATTACAATGTGTATAATTAAAGCCTAAAATGTAAGGACAAAATAAATGGTCTGTTGCACTAAAAAAATAATCCAGAAGCAGTGAATCTAGCCTGTTCTATAAGTAGTGAGAAAGCAGTTTCCACCAGTTTAACTCAAGTGGATTTCTAAGCAGAGCCTTCTAGAAAATGCTTGTCATTATGTCTGAAACATATGGAAGTCTCCTTCAGAAATAATAGTTGGCTGAAATTATACAAGTGAGAAGGAAATAGCATGTTTGTATTAAATTTCTCATGTGTGGCATTCTGCTAACTTTGATTTGGGGTACTGAATGTTTATTTCATTATATGTGCATTTTCATATGTGGCCCTTTTCACCCCACCTCGACCCCAAGCCTTTAAGCATCATTTGAATACAAATTCATAGGACATTTCAGACTATGCAGTCAACCCTTAAGGGCTGTGTAAGTGCACTTAGTTTTAATCTTGCCTTTCGCGGGTCATTGAAAACATTTGCTGTAATGAATTTTGCTTTGCTTATTAGCTCTCAAGACATGAAAAAAGTCAGCAATGATGGTCTGTTCAGTAAGTGATGGGGTACAACGTCTGTTTGTCTGATTGTTCTGAGTGGGGCAGTGTCATGAGTGGATGCCAGGATGAGAGAATCAGGAGAGGAAGGGGGGAGGGAGGGACAAAGGAAGGAAGGGAAGGAAGGAGGAAGTGAGAAGATGGTTCGGAAATATGCAGGAAATAACATAAACAACCACTGACTGCAACAGGGAGAATTCCAGGATCTAAGAGATTCCTGTTAGATTGTATAAAAGAAAAAAAAGGAGATTTAAAATGAAATGAAACAGCTGAATAATATTTCATAGAAAGTCAAATGGCAATACTCTTGAAATTAATATTTAAAAGATATTTAAAAGAATGTGGATGTCAGGTTTAATATTATGACAGTCAGCAAGTGGTTCAGACACAGTGTTTAACCTTAAGTGTTCTGTCAGAGGGAAGGGAGTCAGACATGGGACATGGCACATAATGGTATTCTTTATGAACTTGCCAAAGGTGAAATATTTGCATTTACCATCCCTAAAATGAGAGTCATCTCAACACTTTTGTCCCTTTATGACTTGTCATTTTTAACTATCACGTGGAACTTAAGGTTTATGTGCTGTGTAAGATGTTCTGGACTGATTTGGGTTTACTGAGTCACCTTCTTTTCCCCTTCTTCACTCTTCCTGACCCATTTGAATAAATCACTTTGTTGCCTCTGCCTTTCCTTTGACCACAGTGATATTCATGTCCTCCCCTTTAATTTTTTGCTTATAAAACCTTCTTTTTTTCTTCAAAGAGGAAAAAATGGAACCAGGAATCTGATGGGACTTGTTTGGGAAAGGCAAAGAGGGAGGATGAGGACTGGTACAGGCATGATTATGATCAAGAATGGTTGCTTAACAAAATATAATTGTTAAAATGAAGCTCCCTTATGTAATTAATTGATGTCAAGTACAATATTTTTACTTTCATGAAGTGAGGGCATTCTCCCTTTGAAATGATACTAATGAGAAACATTTTAATTATTGAAATAAATTAAAGAGAACCTACGTAGAATGACAGCAGAATGGTGCCTTTCTTGGAAAGAGTTGAGATGAGGGATAATGAGCTAACTAGCAATGTTTGGCACAAAAGATAAGAAGGAATTAGCATAGTTTCATATTTGAATGGCTGCCATGGTAAAGGTGGTGTATATTTGATCAGAGCCACTGGAGCTCCTGGAAGGAAACTAAAGGGAAATCTTATTGTTCATTGTCCATAAATGTTCTCATAATTGCACCTAACATTGGAAGGAGAGGCAGAACTTACCAGTATTGAAGACAGAGGCAAGAGCCTCTGTCCTACATGAAGCGTAGGTGAGTTTTATGCTTTCTAGGCAAAAATCTCTGAGCTACCTACAATCCTTTGACTAGTAATATGGATGTTAAATTAACGTCTTTGAGATATATCTATATGGGTATATATATGGTCTAAACGCTAAGGAAGTCCATTAGCAGGTTAAATTGTACCTAGAAATTTAGAACAGATTGTTTATATGTATCTTGCCTTGTCTCTGTGATGATTTTCATAATGCAATTTAATATATGCTATTTCTCTGTTTCCAGTTTCTTTTTCTTCTCTGTTTTTTTCCCTTAAATCATCATTTCTTACATTTCTTTATTTACAGTTTGCTTCTAGACTCTTCTTCCCTCTCCTATCCTCTTCTTTCCTCTGTTCTAATCCCTCTTTCCCTCCGTCCTTCCCTCCCTTCCTTGCTTCCTTCCTTCCTTATTGACATTCTCCTCTCTTCTCTCCCTTCCTTTGCTCATGTATTTTTTAAACTTCGTTCTTCTTCCCCCTTTTTAAAAATTCCTGTTCTCTGAGCTCAAATCGAATAGAATATAGACTATGTTTCCTCTACATTCCGATTTTCTTATTGTCTAGACCCATCAGCTTCAAATGGACACTGGCCTAAGGAGTACTATATAATAATAATGAACAAATGGTTTAATGGAACTTCTGCCTCCAAGTGATAGTGTAAAGCTAACATGTACCACACTGGCAAAACTATTGGTTTTGTAATCAGTAGACATGACATTTGGGGTGAAAATTCCTAATGCATCACTTGAACACTAGTAACATTAGTATTGCAATTCAGGTTACCTGAAGAAAGTTGAGAAGTAATTAAAAGGGTCTATGAGTCATTAAAAGAAAAAAAGCTGTTATTTTGTAGTGATGGCCTCTCACTTATTCCCCAAAGTCTAAATATAAACATGCTAGGTAAGTTAGTTTAAACCACCTATTCCAAGTACACTTAGAAATTTTGCTGTGTGCTGGTGGCTCACATCAGTCATAATAGCCACTCAGGAGGCTGAAACCTGAGGATCACAGTTTGAGCCAGACCCTGCAAGAAACTCCATAAGACTCATATGTAATAAACTACTCAAAAAAGCTGGAAGTAGTAGAATGGCACAAGTGGTAGAGTGCATCTCCTTAAACAAAAGAAGCTCAGGGTCAGTAACTAGGCCCAGAATTCAAGCACAGCACTGGCAAAAAGGGTATTTATTGAAATATTGAAATATTTAAAGTAATATACAGTTTTTAAATTAAGCTGAGAAACACAGAGTACTGTTTAGGGCATTTCCTAGTGAGTCTCATTTTGCAATGATTAGGGACATAGACTGAAGTATTATAGTGTTTCTACCACTTCAGGGTTATTAATTATGATGTTACACCTGTTTTTATTCACATTTTATGTGATCTAAAGAAGAAATATACCTTTCTCAGAAGATAATAGTTATTTGGAATGTTTATCTCATTTCTTAGAAGAGAATTTTACAATCATCAAGTATAATATACCATTATATCAAGAACAAATGGAATTGAATAGCAGACTCATTCTCCTTTCCCATTTCCAGGTGAAGATCCTGAAACCAGAAGAATGAGAACAGTGAAGAACATAGCAGACCTAAGGCAGAACTTAGAAGAGACCATGTCCAGTCTTCGTGGGACCCAGATTAGCCACAGGTTGTTCCCCAAATTTTGTATCTTTGGACCAATAAAGATAAAAAATAACCCAAAAGTCAAGTATTTAATGTCTCTTATAATGGTAGAGAAGAATATAAATTATCCTTCATTATTTCTCTACTTTAAAATTTCCAATAAATTATCACTAAAAACATCACTAATGATCACAATCAGTAATAATTCTTAAACAAAACATTCAGGATTAAAAAAAAATCTCTTCTGGGGCTGGGAAGGTGGCTCAGTGGTAGAGTGCTTGCCTTGCATGCATGAGGACTGGGATTGATTCCTCAGCACCACATAAGTAGAAAAAGCTGGAAGTGGCACTGTGACTCATGTGCCAGCCTTAAGCTGAAGAGCTGAGGGACAGCCCCAGGCCTAGAGTTCAGGCCCCACAATAAAGAAAACAATCTCTTCTCCATATAATTTCCTGATCTAACTAAATTCACTGCAGCAACTTTGACCCTTGCTACTAAGCAGGTGCATTCCTGCTCTGGAGCATGTGGGAGGGGTAACAGGAAGACATTCAAGAATGCATGGAGGTGTAGATAGCTCTTGCAGACAGTCTGAGAAGTTTACAGTAGGCTGTTGAAGGTATACTTTTAAAAAAAAAAAGAAGAAGATGTAAGGCCATATTTTGTTCTGTAATGATGAAAACAAAGGACAGCTCTTCCCACGTTTTGTCATCTGCAGAAGTGATTAGAATCACAAAATAACATATGCAATAATTTAGCCATCATGAATGCAATATCTAGTTAACGTATGCAATAATTTAGCAATCATGAATGCAATATCTAGTTAAACAACACCTGAACCTGTCCTTTCCTGCTTTTATGCCCTAGAGTGGAATTATGTATTTGTTTTCGTTGACAGCACCCTGGAGACAACATTTGACAGCACGGTGACAACAGAAGTCAATGGCAGGACCATACCCAACCTGACAAGCCGCCCTACTCCCATGAGCTGGAGGCTGGGCCAGGCATGTCCCAGACTACAGGCAGGAGATGCTCCCTCCATGGGGGCTGGCTACTCTCGCAGTGGTACCAGTCGATTCATCCACACAGACCCCTCCAGGTTCATGTACACAACACCTCTCCGCAGAGCTGCCGTCTCCCGGCTGGGAAACATGTCACAGATTGACATGAGTGAAAAAGCAAGCAGCGATCTGGACATGTCTTCGGAAGTGGATGTTGGTGGATACATGAGTGATGGGGATATCCTTGGGAAGACTCTAAGGACAGATGACATCAACAGTGGGTAAGTGGTGCAGCCTGTAATGCCATTGGTGTAGGAAGAGAGCAGTTCTCCTGAGATGCATTCACCACAGAGGTCTTTAAAAAAAAATATGTGAGCCGTGTGATGGGATGTGAGCTGTTTTGGGGCCTCCCCTCAGCTCATGCATGGGAAGTTATATACTCTAGGTTTCTAGACGTTCTTTACATCATCAGGCATTAAACTGTCCTATTGTTTTTCAGAGTGATTTGCATATGCTCTTCAGTAACAGATTTTTGTAGAATTTTATAGAAAAAGAAGTGGGAGGGGATAGGAAGATTCTGTTGAATTGCATTACTTTCTCTTTTGGCTCAGGTTGCCTAAAACTGCTTTAAGGAACATATTTTGTGGTCCTCTCCAATTGTATACTTAAGTATACAGTTGGAGGGAATATGATGTTAATGTTTAAAGTTGCAATGTATTTATTTTCTTTGGATGTAATTATTTTTTAAAAAAATCTTAGTCTTTGTTCTCCTTCTGTTTCCAATTATATTTTTAAAATGTGACTATAATACTCCTAGAGTATTTTGACACTTGGTTCAATCAGGGTGTGAATTTTGATGGAGGAATAAGGGATGGGCTATTATAATCAGTACAAATGAAACATTCTACTAAAATTATTATTTGCCATTTTAGTTATGCATATATATTTATATATGATGGAGTATAACAGACCAAAATAGAAAATATGAGAGAGAGATCTGTTCCTTGTATGAGAAAGCCAGAGATGTGCCAGGAAAGTTGAATTTGAAGGCATTTATTTATTTATTCATTTTTATTTTCATTGAAGTAGTTGTACAAAGGGGTTTCAAGTCAATGTCTAGATGTGTGCACAATGTATCTTCCTTCATCATTTTCCTCAGTCTCTCCCAAACCCACCCATGTCCTCAATTTACTTGGTTCCATTTTCACATTCGTCATATTTTTACAATAGTCAATGTATTATTATTGTAAGTTAGAGAAAAATGACTTGGAATGTCTATGCTACAACCTATTAAAAATTAATCACAGAGTTCACTTTCTCTTCCTAAATCTTCATTGTTTTCTTGATTAAAAGGACAGAAGGCTCAACAAACACAAAATGAATGATGATGTTTAAGAATTTTTTTCTCAATTGACTACAACAAATGTCATGAAGTCAATACAAATAGGAATGACTTTTTTCCTACGTACTCTAAGTGAAAGTCAGAAAGTTATTTAATCAGCATTCTGAGAATTCAGAATTCCTTGAACCATGCAAAGACTTATAGTTTTCCTTCTCTTTTTAAAATTACTTTCCACACTTGGGAATGTGAATCTGTCGGTAATTAAGACTTAGAGATAGGTTTCTCACTTATGAGGAGGGTAAAGAAGTATCTGTTTATGATGCAGAAATGGAACACTGGAAATGGGGGGACAGAGTTATATATTTCATTGTGTAGAAATTCAAGTTAATTAAACTTTTTTTCTTTATGGATTTTTTAATGTTTTTAATTGTAAAAAATACTGCTCAGAGCGGTTACAGTTAAGTAAGCCAGTGATAAATACTCAGACCAAGCTGTTGGCCTAAAATTAAATTTCCCAACATATGTAATCTAAGAATTCTAAGGGAAGGGTGAAATAATTAAAAATAAGGACAAGGATATATCTTAATTGTACTCCTGCCTTGGTCCTCCCTCAAGTCTACTTTAATAAGCTTCCAATAATCGAATATTCATAACAAGGGAAAGGCCAGAGTGCCTTAGTTGGGTTAAAAATGTCTTCTTTGTGAATTAAGGCAGATAGATTCCAAATCTTGATTCTTCCAATTGCACAGGCAAGATATGAGACACTTTTAGTGAATATAATTATTTCTTATGGCCTTACTTGGCAATACTAGCCAACATTTATTTGCTTACTCCAATCTAGCTAATGCTGTATGCTACCTGGAAGTATGCATAATATTATCATCTCTATTGTTCAGATGAAGTACTTGAGTTGTAGATGGTTTTAAAGACTTGCCTAAGTTCATCTAGCTAGTAAACAATATCATTGACTTCAACTAGTGCAGTCTGTTTTCAGTCTGCATCTTCATGATCATGATGTCTTCACACTATGAAATAATCTTCATGTTGCCATGCTTAGGTTTCTTTCCTAAGAGGTTAGTTTTATATCATCCATTTCACAAAAGTACTACTAGGCAGCTGTTCATTATGAGCATAGTTTTCTTCACTAACAGTCTAATCCAGGGGCATTTCTTCATGTTATCTGTGCTCCTCTAAAGAATGATGACGAACTGTAATTCTTTTGTGGCAGGAAGGATAATAACTTCAAGTTTTCTTTGTATATGAAAATTAGAAATTAGGGGCTGGGAAGGTGGCTCAGTGGTAGAGCGCTTGCCTTGCATGCATGAGGCTCTGAGTTCGATTCCTCAGCACCACATAAGCAAAAAGAAAAAAGCTGGAAGTGGCACTGTGGCTCAAGTGGTAGAGCGCTAGCCTTGAGCTGAAGAGCTGAGGGACAGCGCCCAAGCCCAGAGTTCAGGCCCCATGACCGGACCCAAAAAAGAAAAAAGAAAATTAGAAATTAGGTAATTGTGATATACAGCAGTTGACATATGAGGTTGTGACTATAAAAACAATTCTAGGAAGATAATGATTATGGTAGAAGTTTATATGAGATGGTTTGGTAGAAATATAATTGTGTATAGGCTTTGAATCTTCCCAAATCCTCTGTAAAATAAGCCATAAAACATATTTATATATGATTTTTAAATAATTATTTTTTAAAATGATGTCAATATATTATCTTATCTCCCACATACAACTAGTTGGAAGTAACCTACATGGAAACAATGGACCAGAATAAAATCAGTATCAATAGAGGAAGAAACAGATGCTAACACTGGGATATTTTTTTCTTTGTTCTCTTCTTTTGTTGCTATTTTTCTGGTACCAGGGATTGAACTTGTAGCCTTGTGCTTGTTAGGCAGGCTAACTTGTTCCATGCTTCTATCCCTTTTTAGCTTTACTTATTTTTTGGATAAGATTTTGCAGTTATGTCCTGGCTGGCTAGAACCACTTACAGCCTCCAGCATAACTGGGTTCCAAGATGTGATTCCCCCACAAACAGTTTGTTTGTTGAGATGGAGTTCTCCTTAACTTTTTGGCAACAAATCTCAATTGCCACTATGCAAGTAGCTGAGAGTATACCTGTCTAACATCAGACCCATCCCCCAAAGGGACATCTGATAACACTAAGCATAATTGAAAACTCCAAATAGCTAACCAATACTGACTAGAAAACACATATTAGCTAAAGGTGAGAGAGATTTTGACCACTTGACTAATCAGTGAGATTTCAAAGGGCTTAGGGTCACATGTGTTTAGGACAGAGCATTTATTTCCAGTGATCTGTTTAAAAATCCCAGCCACCAGTCTCTTCAAGAACAAGGAGCCAACAGAGAAGGAAAGCTGTGGGAAGTAGAATAAAATTGACCAGGCTATGGAAATAAAGATATTTATAGACAAGGTCTTAATGATAGTGAGAACAAATGGAATGTAAAGCACTCAAAAAGCAAGCTAGCGGATGGGAAGGGTAAACAAAGGAGGAGGCTGCAATGCTTGGTAAGAAATGTACGCATTATCCTGCCCATGCAATTGTAACCCCTCTGTACAGTTTGTTCACAAATAAAATAAAATAAAATTTAAAAAAAAAGCAAGCTAGCCAATTTTTCAACTGGAATAAAATAACAGAAGATGTTGCTGTATAAAATTAAAAAGCTATTTAAATCAACTTCTTTGTATTTATAAAAATTAATATAATAAGTGAACAAAGCAAAGAAAAAATCTGTATCTTATATATACATACATATATATGTATATATTCAATAGACGTACTGTATATATATATACAAAACTTCATAATGATTAATATCAGTGAAGAAATAATCAAAGAAAAGAAAATAATAGCAAGTAAACAAATCACATTAATATAGATTTCACAGACAAAACACAAATAACTAATAACAAAGCAAACATGTGACTGATTTACTTGGTAAAAAGGAACTTATAAATTAAAACCAACATTAGAGGTCATTTCACATCCATTGGTTCACATAAATATGCCAAATATTGACAAACATTCTCAACAAATATTCCTTTGTATTTACATATAGAGTTTAAGATACACAATAATTTTGAACACTATTTGCCATTGACTAGTAAAATTGAATATGGTCATGACTTTATGACTCAGAGATTTCTCTCTTGAATACAGAATCTAGTAAACTCTTGCCTGCAAGCCCACTGAATCAGGTACTTGAATGTTGGTGGAAGTATTATTTTAAACAAGAGGAAAGAATACAACCAACTCAAATGTTTATGATGGCCAAGTGAAGTAAGAAATTATAATACAGTTGTAAACTGGACCTGTATCACACTAAATTAATAACACAGTGATACATATTAAGATAGATGAATTATAAAAATGCAAATGTGAGTAAAAGATGCATATCAAAAATGATTGCTTATCTTGGTGTTCAATTTTTATAAAGTGGAAAAAACTCATGTTATGCTAAACAATATATTGTAGTATGCATACCCACCATGTGGTAAAACCATAAAGAAGAGAAAAAGAATGATTAGCCCAAAATCCAAGATAATAGTTAGCTCTAAAGGAGTTTTGAGGCTATGATTGGGAATGTGGGGATACTGAAGATAGTAAGTTAATATTTTTTATGATTTAATAAATACTCCTATAGATTGTATACGCTTGCCTATCACATATTTCATTGTAAACCTTTTTTTAAATACATAATGCTGATATGATGCTACTATTGGTTGTCATTAAGATAACTCAATGGGATTGAATGGTTTTTTTTCTTTAAGAAGAATGTTTCCCAGTTTCAGTGGTTTTGAGAAATGAAGTATAGTGATTAAGCTGATTCCATCTTATAGTAGTTGGAGCCTGAGAATGAGGATAGAATGAGGATCAACTGATGTCTGGGTAGATGGTGTTTTTTCTTTTGAATACATTAACACACAAAAGAAGCAAACATTATGATCAAGACACATTATATGCACACATGAAATGTCATAATAAAATCCCCTACTATATACAATTTAATATATGCCAATAAAGATAAAAGGAAAGGGGTCCTCATTACATAAGGGGTACTCAACAGTCAGTTTCATTATATCTGTAAGATGGTCATGGGAAATTCATGTATTGATGTATAGGAAGTACTTCCGCTTCTTCTTCTTCTTCTAAAGTATGTGGAGTATCATTGCCTGGAAATATTAACTTCAAGTAAATACTATGTTATCAGCAAAGTACTTTGCTGACTAGCTTTCTTTGAGGGGGGAAAACAAAATACCAAAAAACAAAACTGGATACCTGAGTTTTCATTATTAGCCACATGGAAAGATGATTAGCTATTTCTTCATCCTAATTTCTTAAGGGGGAAAACTTATTCCATTTGAGATAAGAGATTGAACACCCTGATTGAGTTCCAATACCCAAGGAAGCAATGTGACCTAACAGGATTGTGTCTATCAGAATTGACTACTCATATTATAGTGATGGCTGATTGATAATGAGGAGTTTTCAAACAAGAGGCCAGCGTGGCCCTTCTGAGCAGACAGCATTATATGGTGGCCACTTGCATGGCTTAGAGAACTCACTTTCTGGATTTCTTTCTCAGATCTCATGATTGGCTTGAGTGACCACATGTACTTTAATCTTTTAGCACTTATTTTTCTTCATTTCTAGTTTGAAGGTAATAATATTTTTACATGTAAGATAGTAGGTTTGGGCATCATGTTGAACAACTTAGTGCATTTTTGTTATTATCTGATAATTGTATAGCATAATTCTTACTTACAAAACTATTGTTAAGTTTACTAATGTCCTTCATTTTTTTCAAACATGATGCCTAGAAAATTAAATTGTCTTGCCCTCATTTAGTAAAAGTTACATTTTTATCAGCTTGTTCAAATTTTTGATAGCAAAAGAAATAACAAATTCTTTAGTAGGATAGGTACAATAAGGAATGTTGATTTCCAAATAGCATTGAAAGACATTTGCTTCTTCCTCACAAGAATATTTGTAAAGAAAGTATCTTCACAAAATTTCCCGAGCAGTTGAAGAAAATTGTTTATTGAGGAAAATCATACTGATGAGGTAATTTGATTTTCAGTTGATTAATGAGGCATCTGTTTTCAGATACATGACAGATGGAGGGCTCAACCTGTATACAAGAAGTCTGAACCGATTACCAGACACTGCAACTTCTAGGGATGTCATTCAGAGAGGCGTGCATGATGTCACCGTGGATGCAGACAGGTAATTCTTTGATGGTGAGGAATACATACGGAAATTTCATAACCAAAAGAACTGAACAAAACTGAACAACAAGAGTTGGCTGTTGGTTTTGATATAATTCACTTTTTGAAATATTTTTGAACTAGGGATTTCATTCATACGACAATTTTGCATATGCAATGCCTTTTTAAAAAAACTGTTACATTATCGGAGCCCAGGTTCATGCCTGTAATCCTAGCTAACATGAAAGTAAGTCTAGGAAGATCATAATATTTAAGACTATCAATCATAAACCTGAGACCCTGTCTCAATTAAAAGAAATAGCTGTACAAGGTAGTAGGTGCACATCATGCTAGCTAGGCAGGAAGTTTAAATAGGTACATTGCAGTCAAGGCTGGACTGGGCATACAGTTGAGACTCTATTCAAAAGCTAATGCACCCCAGGCAGAGATGGTTGACACCTATAATCTTAGCTACTCAAGAGACTAATATCTGAAGGCCACAATTCAAAGCTGGCCCATGCAGGAAAGTCTACCAAAAAGCTGGAAGTAATGCTAAGATTCAAGTGGTAGAGTGTCAGCCTTAAGCATAAAAGCTAAGGGATGATGGACAGGCTCTGAATTCAAGATCTAGTATTGGCACACATCACACACACACACACACACACACACACACACACACAAAATGAGATAAGGTATAGCTCAGCAGATAGAAAAAGAGTAGAACAGGTAGCATAACTCAGAGCATAAGGCTCAAGTTTAATCCCCAGCACCGCCAAAAAACTGGGTATCACTCAAAACAAGCTTGTAAGCTTGGAATAATTTTTCTTACTTGAATGAAGCTATTTTCAGTTCATATTACCCTTAAATTTACCTGGAGGCTAATGATATAAAATGAAAATATAATACAAACCATCAGATATAATAAACTCCATGTGTTTCTTCACCGTTTTATTGAAAATACAAAATTCTTACTTTATGGTATTTTCTACTCTATTCTCTCAAATTGCTTAAATGTGTGTGTGTGTGTGTGTGTGTGTGTGTGTGTGTGTGTGTGTGTGTGTACTTACACGTATTTAATTATTGCTTGGTGGAAATTATTCTGCTTACTTTATCAGAACCATCAATATTTGAGAATATTTTCTTTATGCATTAATATTTTAAAGTATATTCTTAACATAATTTTGTTCCTTTTTCAGTCAGAATTCTCTTTTGAGAAACAAGGAATTATCTATTTCCTTACTATGAATTCATAGAAGAGGTGTTTCTGGAATAGATTAGAGGATGCACTTCTTACCAGCCACTTTCTCTCTGCCATCATGGTCTGCCTATGAGTGCCGAATGCTTATTGTATCCATCACATGCAGAGATGTTAGGAAAGTCGAGAGTTGGGAATGAACAAATGGATGAATATAGGCTAGCTAGTCATTACAGATACATACTTATTTAGGCTTGCAGAATGGACTAATTGGGAAACAAATAAAATGAGGTCAGGAATGAGCCCAAATACAGCAAGAACATTCCAAAGGAAAGGTAATAGGCTATTGGAAAAACAAGAAGCCGCACATCCAGAGGAAGAAACCCAAAGCTAGGCTACTTTTTGAAACTGATGACTTGTACATTGTTACATGACAGTGGAAACAGTGAACGGCGGGATATCTGCTTATCTTTGGTAAATGAGGCTGTGAGGGCAGATTCTAGGACTCAGCCCAAAGAAGGCTTTAGTTGGGAAATAACTGGGATATCCTATGCTTCTTGTAAGACTGGGGTCTGGCTGTGGAACCTCAAGCCAAAGTAATATGAACATCGGTTTGATTTCTTTTCATTTTTTGGAGAGAAAAGGGTAGTGTAGAAAGGGCTGGATGAAAAGTGAACAAATGCAACCATGCAATTCAGCATACACTGTGTGGAAAATGAACTCTAAATTGTGGGGAGAGTTGGAAGTGGAAAACTGGGGAAAATTGTCCTAAAAGTAAATGTACTCATTACCTTACTTATGAAATGGTAACCTCTCTGCAAAACAAATTAAAGATAACAATGCAATTATATTTTTAAAAAGAAATACAAATGAGCAATGAGCATTGAATAAGCTAGGTACTACCAAAAAAAGAGTTCTCCTTGTGTAGTACCTGAACTCATAGAAACACTTGAGGTATATTAGGAATACAAGTTCTCAGACCCATCTAAACCTCACAGAATCAGAAATTCCGGTGTTGGAGTCCAGCTATCTAAGCTTTTGATCAGAATAATAATGTACATAATGATCAGATTCATATGTACAAGAAGCACCATCTGGAAATGACTAAATATATGCCAAGCACACTAGAATCTAACAAAGAACATGTACATTGAAACATAAAAGATGATCATTTGAAGTTTGTATATACTTTATTAGCTATGTTTTATCATCTGATCTTCTCCTGGTGGCACTATCTGTAAATTAGGTCAAATCGTGGCTTGTTGGAACAGATCTTATAGCTAAATAGTAAAAACTGTTTGCCTGTCGTGCTAGTGACACATCTGTTTTCATAGCTAGACAGAAGGCTTAGATCTGAGGATTATGGATCAAATCAGCCTAGTCAAGAAAGTCCATGAGTCTCTTATCTTCAATTAGCCCTCAAGAAGCTGTAAGTGGTAGAGTACTAGCCTTGAGTAAGTGGCACACAAAAAAGATAAATAAATGCATAATAAAGAAAAACAGAAATAACATGAAACCAAGTAGCAATTTCTTCATTTTGGAAAATTTATAGAAAATCTCTCAGGTGAGAATGCTACCTATTTAGAGTAGAATGATATCAGCCAGGCAGGAGATATTGCCCAATGGTTGTAACTGTAGAGGAACCTGGGAACCACTTCTCTAAGCTTTTTTATAATCCAGGAATACACAGCTTTATAGTTAGTCTTCCAGACACAACATCCCTGGCTATAGCCTCGGGCTTGGCTGAGGTATATTTTTGGCAGCAACTAATTAAGTTGGGTTTGATCACTTTCTAAATTAATATGGGCCATACAAAATATTACATTTGTATCTCTGGTGTAGCATGTGAAAACACACCCTGGGCATGAACCGTGGACAATGGACTGAGGAAATACAGCCACTTGAGGAGTTGGGACAGAGAAGACTGCTCTAAGGTTGAGGCCCAAGGAGGGCTGAGTTTTGGAGAATGGAGAAATGTAGTGGTGGAGAACAATGCCACAGAAAAGTGAACGTTGGCAACTAGTTTCTGCTTAGTGTTTCAATGAAGTTGTGAAATTATGAAGAGAAAAATGGAAGCTTAACAGGTTGCAGCAAAGAAGGCAAGAGAGGTGATCTTCATGAAAGTAGCAGTAAAGGCAGGGCGAGAGGTCAGAGGAGTGAACACACGGGTAGAATAATGGTTATTGCATTGCTGATTTACCTCATTTTGTTTGGGGATACAAATAGAATTTTAGCAATCATACAAAGTAAATTCCTAGAGAGATGGAGTAATGCTGGAGATAGAAAAATCTATAGAGACTGTAGGACTGCTGTCTATTTCATACGTACACTAATCACTCATGTCACAAGTTGCAACCACACTCCCACTGTGATAATCCTCGGTGGTTGGATTAGGGAGGTGATTATAAGAACAGAACTCTTAGTAATGGATTTGGTAGCCTTGAAGACACTGCCCAGGGAGTACCTGAGCCCCTTCCACGTGTGAGGTTATAGGAGAACGATGGCAGCCAGAGAGTTACGACCTCAGCAGACACCCAATATACAGGTTGCTTAACTTATGGCATCCTAGCCACCAGGTGTGAAGGGGGAAATATATGGCATCCAAAAGCCAATCAGTTGATGGTGTTTGTAATGAAGGAAAGAAAGAAAATAGAAAGGGAGGGAGAAGGGAAAGAAGGAAAGGAGATAGATACAGAAAGGAAAAGAAAGAAGTAAAGGAATGAAGGCAGGAAGGAAAAATGGATTAGAACAAGGACTAAGGTTACAAGCAAATGTGATAGTTGGCTGAGAGAAGAGATAGTTCTTCCTGTGAAACATAAAGCATATTATCAACATTAGTGTGGAGTTTGGGGGGGAAATACTTAGGAGATATCATTTTACTTTCTTTGTAAAGTGGAGGTTAAATTATCACTGAGAATGAAAACGGTATGTGCTGGCTAGGCATTGAGAAGATTGTTAGGATTATCACTGAATGCTGATAGAAGTTTTGAAGATCATATGGAAGTCTTGCAGAGATTATGGAAAATCTAATTAGATTAATAAAGGCTCAGTTGAAGTCTAATTCCTATAACAAAAGTGACCTGCATTAAGAGTACAAAGCTGATTTCCAACATATTCCCAGCATTGCCATAATCTAGTTTGTTTGTTTTTGTTGTTCTTTGTGGAGCTTGAACTCTAGGCCTGTTCACTGTCCCTGAACTCTTCAGCTCAAGGCTAGCGCTCTACCACTTGAGCTACAGTGCCACTTCTGGTTTTCTGGTGGTTTATTGGAGATCAGAGTCTCACGGTTTTCCTGCCCATGCTGGTTTTGAACAGTAATCCTCAGATCTCAGCCTCCTGAGTAGCTAGGATTACAGGCATGAGCCACCAGCTCCTGGTTCACAACCAGTTTTATAGCTTTCATTCAGGCCCAAGTAGGAGCCTCATGCCCATCTTCCTCCTGTCCCACCATTCCACTCAGCTGTGGCTACTACTTATGTACCTCATGGAAGTAAGTGTTTTCCTTTTCTAGATATTTCATATGCATGGATGTAACTGTTTATTATTTTTAAATCTAATCTTTGCATGTTTACTCATGACTTTCAAAAATGTCACCATATATCTCAGAGAAAGTACTGTACTTGAATTTAACTCCCTAGTGGATTATTTTGATCTGTGAGACTACAATTCAAAGACTGAAATTATGGCAGATGAAAAGGCTTGGAAAATGCAGTGAGGGTTATTATGAATTTACATGTAACTCAGATTATTAGTGGTTGTTACTCTTCCTATGTGAAAAGAAGTCTGGGTCCATGCTTTTCAGAGCAAATACCCAAATCTACAGT